GGCGGGATTTGTCTCATAAAAATAATTACTTGAGGAAGCACCTCAGGCCTAAATCCACTAATTGGGATGTTTGGCCTGAAGCCCTCAGATGGGGGGGGGCGGGATTTGTCTCTGCTGAATACCTGATTCCCCCAAGCTGGCCTGAAGAGATGTGTGGGGCTGTTCTGGGGGCTGCCCCTCCTTGTTCCAGGAAATATTCTCCCTTCCAGAGTAGCCCACCAAGGAGTCAAGATTCCTCTCTAGCCCTGACACAACCAGAGAAACCTGCATTAAAGAAAACTATCACAATGTGAAGCTATTGTTTCTCCACATCTCCTCCTTCTGGGTCCATTCACTTCCAAAGCTGTGTTTTTCTCACTCTAACTCTTCCCTGAAGAATCGCAGTTGAGTTTGAAAGTTATAGTTCAGTGCATTGCTTCGGAGGAGAATATTGGGTAGCCTTAACATTAGAGAAAGAGCCCTGGGTTTCACAATGGCTGCTAACCCCAAGGTCAGCGGTTTGAAACCATCAGCCACTCTTTGGGAGAAAGATGAGGCGTCCTACTCGTATAAAGACTTACTATCTCAGAAACCCACAGGGGCAGTTCTAGCCTGTCTTAAAGAATCACTGTGAATTTGAATTGACTCGATAGCAGTGTTTTTATTTAACATTATAAAGAAGCCCTAGTGGCACTATAAGATATTGGACCACTAACCATTGCGGTTTAAACCCATCAGCCGCCACTAACACCGCCACCACCAGTCCCCCTGGAGGAAGGTGAGGCTGTCTGTTCCTATAAAGATAACTGGCCCATGCGTACGTGTGGATTTGATGGCAGTGGACCCCTTCCCCAAAGACTTCTGCACTCTTCGATTCACACCGAAGCAGCAGATTTGACCTCTTCCTCGAGGGACTCAAATTGTGCTCATTCTAAGTTTTCCGTTTGGGGAACAATAAGTCTAACGGGGCAAGATCAGGGCTAGAGGGTGGATGGGGTAAGTTTCCAAACGAACTTCTCCAAGGACAGCCTGCAGGCAACCCTTGAAGGTTGGGGAAGTGCACTGTCACTATGGGAAAAAATAAAATACGTGCCTCTGTGTCACTTTCCCGGCCTTTTGTTCGCCAGTGCCATTTCCATTTCCTTAACACTTCTTCATACTACGTCCCCAGAATTATCCAGTGTCCGCTGCGAAAATCTGTCAAGGTTACCTTGATGGCATCCCAAGAAACTGTCATCATAACCTTCCGAGCCGACCTCTGCCTTGCATTTGACCAGCCCGGCTTGTTGCGGTCAGGTGCCATCGAGCAAGCCTCGACTCTTGGTGACCCCCTGTACAGCAGAAGGACACACTGCCTGGCCCTGGACCATCTCACCATTGTTCTGCTTGAACCCATTGTTGCAGCCACCGTGGCAATCCATTGTGTCAAAGATCTTCCTCATTCACCGCCCCACTGCTTTAGGAAGCGTGATGCCCTTTTCTAGGGACTGGTCTCTCCCGACAGCATGTCCGACCATCCCAGCAGATCCCTTCAACCCCCACCATTCTGATTGGACCTTATTGTGAAGGCCCCTCGTGAGATAAACATGAACGTGATACCCTGAGAGAACTTGCTCACAGCCATCCACTGTCACTGAGTGGAAGACTCAAACATGTTGAACACACTTTGGAATAAACCCAGGCGTGTATGAGCTGGGACCCTGGTTGCAATAATTTTTGGCTTGCCTTCATTTGTCAGAGAGTTTTAACGTTAACACTGCTGTAAGAATAGAGGCTGGTAGGAAGAAACCACACTGTTGAATTGACTCTGGCTCATAGCAGCCCCACGTGTATCAGAGAAGAACTGGGCAGCTCAGGCTTCCAACAGCTCGGCTTTCAGAGGTAAATTGCCAGGCCTTTCTTCCGAGCCACCCCTAAGTAAACAAACCCCCCACCTTTCAGTTAGCAGCCAAGTGCATTACTTTTTGCACCGCCCAGGGGCCCCAGAAGGAAGGAAGTGCCTGTCGCACCAGTGTCTCACCCAAGCACCCGGTTTTCCCCTCGGTTCCTTGCGCTTATAGGGACACCAGTGAGTCTCATCCCCGTATGTTGTTGAAGGTGGCGAGTTATTGTTCTATGTTCCTTGAGTGGTTTCAATGACCTTTCTTTTCTATTGTGCCCCGGTGGCATATGATTATCCGTCAGGCTAGTAACCAGCAGCTAAAGACAGATCTCTGCACTCCACAAAGAGGCACAGTCTCGGAAATTCACAGGAGCAGTTCTACCCTGCCCTGCAGCTAGGAGTCATGACGATGGCAGTGAGTTTGGTTTTTGGTTGTGTGTGTTTATTCTGCCCATTATTACTATTATTCTAGACGCTCTAGAATAAAATAATCTTGCATTGTCTTTGGATCCCCGTGGTGTAGTGGCTACGAGATGGGCTACTACCTGCAAGGTCAGCAGTGGAAACCACCAGTCCCTCCAAGGGCGGAGCAGCGGGCTGTCTACTCTTGTGAAGAGTCACACGTCTTGGAAACTCACAGGGACCGTCTGTAGGGTTGTGATGGGTCCTCACGGGATCCATGGTAGTGAGTGTGGTGTCTGCTTTCATTATTGTGATTCTCGATTCCCTGGGTGGTGCTGGTGATGAATATGCTACGCTGTTCATCCAAAGGTTGGGAGTTTGAGCCCACCCAGAGGCACCTCGGAAGAAAGGCCTGGTGATCCACTGCTGAAAACCCAGCCATTGAAAATGGGGAGAGCAGCAACAGTTCTGCTCTGACCCAAAGGGAGCCACCACGAGCCTGAGTCGCCTTGAGAGGACACCTGTGACCTGAGTGGATGTGGCATTCACAATGTTGCCCGCCCGATTTGATTTCGTTTCCTCTCACCCATCCTGCAAGGCGCTCTGAGTGTGGCTGAACCCCATCACTCTGCCTCCCAGGGAGGGACTGCCTCGATGCAGCCAAAAACAGTGTGTTCTTTCATTTTGGGAAATGGGTCTACTCTCAGGAGCCATCCGTGTACATGAGTGCGGAGCCAGGCAGAGGTGGAGATGGGGGATTGGTGGGCTGCAGCAGGGCTGTGTTCTGCCTGGCTTGAGCCCCCACCATAAGCACAGCAGTGGTCGGGCATGCCTACAGACCACACTCTTGCCTCTGGTTTCCATTGCAAGGTTGTGATGTACTGATGTGGAACCTATAGAACCTTTCCACCTCGTTAGCTGTCCCAGCAGCTGGCAGGCAGACAAGCTGCCTCCTGCCCCTGCAGAAACGCACTGCCCTCGGCCACACAGCAGGCCCAGGGCAGTCAGCAGCCAAATGCAAAGGCTCAGGGGCCACA